CATCTCTTGATATCCCTTGCATTCCCATTTCAGTAAAATTTGCAGAACTGTACTATCACATTTACTGTAAACCAGTTTGTCAGACACAGGTCTACCTGCCTCTTGCCAGAGGCAGGTAAAACATGCAGAAAACCCCAAACCAAAACTGACTGCAACTGTATTATTTCCCCACCACCACAGGCCTTACAGCTTCCCATAAGTCCCTTAAGAGAGCATCTTTTTAATATAATTTTTATAAATATATTTTTTACTTTCTTTCTATCACTTTTAAGCAACCAAAACCATTTCATAGACATTTGTTTCCAGCTAAATTAAAATAAAACAGAATGTGCCTAGAAGCCAACACCTAAACTGATCAGGTGAGACTATTCCTTCATAAAAACAGCATGGTGAATGCTCTCTTCCTCTTTTGGTCTACCAGGAAGCTACACAGATGCCATTGAGAACATGAAGCAATGCACTTCCATCAGGACTGAGAGGATGGACAAACAGCTTGTGCTGTTTGTCTGAGATAACTGTTATCTTCACTCCCTATAGGTCAGAGAAGCCATCATGGCTAACAAAAATCAAGAGAAGAACAGAAGAAATAGGATTTACTGTGCTGTCATGGGGTACACATACACACTCACACACACACAAAGAGTTGATTCAAGATGAAGTTTAATATCTCTGAATGTAACACATTGCTGGTGGTGCTGCTACCTGGTCTTCCATTTGCGTACTACAATGGGCAAATAGTTATGGGGGAATTACCTAATTTCACTCATACAGCCAGAGATTAGCTTAATTTCTTTCCACGCTTCTTTACAAAACACAGTAGAAGTGAAAAGTTCACAAATTCTGTGTCTAGATTTATCCATTAATGGAATTTAGTTTCTTATGAAATATAAGGGGAAAACAAACAAACAAACACCAAAAAGCCCAAATAGAAACTGAGATCGACACAGCTATAAACAAGTGAATAAAGAGTTCACAGAATGCACCATGGCACAAGATTCAAAGCTCATTTCTGAATGCAGTCTATTTATTTTAATTAAGCTTTGTAACTCACACCTAATGAGTTATAGCTAGTCTTGGCTTGTTAAACCATGTGTCAGATCAGGGAATTTGGGTGGACTGCATGTGGACCTACACTGACTTTTATGCAGTTACCTCTAGCAGCTCTGCAACCTCCTGTATGGAGGCCTGGCAGAAAAAACACAGATGCCACTATTCTTCCCTGGGCTATATTACCTCCACGTGCTGATTAGAAAAAGTTATTTCTTGTTACATGAACACTGAGAACCTGATGCAATGAGGTAATTATTTAGTATACAACTGGTGCCCTTGTCCTGTCATTACAGGATGTGGTAAATTCTTGCTCCGTCTCTCTTGTAAGCCCACTTTAATGACATAATGGATGGAGTAAGATCTCTTCCTCAAGCTAAACAAACTCCAGCTCTCTCAGCCTTTGTCTGCAGGAGACAAGTTGCAGCACACTGATAATTTTTTGGTGTTTCTCTGGACTCGCTCAAACAGGTCCATGTCTTTCTTGTACTTGTGGGCCAAAAGCTGGACACAGCCCTGCAGCTGGGGTCTCACAAAAGCAGGACCAAAATTACCTCCCTCAACCTGCTGGTCACACTTAATCTTGATGCAGCCAGGGTGCAGTTGGCTCTCTGGGTTGTTGGCACATATTGCCAGCTCATTTCCAGCTTTTTAACCACTGGTGTTCCCCAGGTCCTTCTCCACAGGGCTACTCTCAATCCATTCATCACTCAGTCTGCACTTATATCAGAGATTGCATTGACCTAGGTGCAGGACCTTGTGCTCAGCCTTGTTGAACTTTGAGTTTTTCACAAGCCCACTTCTCCAGCTTGTACCATTCCCAGTGGATGTCAATCCTTCCCTCTAGCATATCAACTGCCCTGCTCAGCTTGGTGTTGGGTTATATATTCATGTTCTACAAAATTCATTTAGGTACACTAAACATGGTTTTTTTACATGTGTGCTTCCAACTTGATCTGGCTCTGCCTTCAGCAGATGCAAGCAGGTTATTTTATAAACTTACAGGTATAGATGCAATTAAGGAGACCACAGACTAAGCCTATGCATCAGGCCTCAGCAGCAGTTATGCATGCATTGCCAACCCTAATTTAATGTCCTGGGGGAATAAGAGAAGGCTGCTTGTTCTCCTGTATGAACAGCACAGGTAGCTCATTAATGGACCTGCACTGCCTGTTTTGTCATTCTGCTCACAGTGCCGTAGGCGATAGCGACAAGAATGAAACTTAAGAAAAACTAACAATTCACAGAACTTGTCAAAACCCATTACTGTGACTTGTGCAGGTCTGCATCCCATCACTATCAGCTATCAGAGCTCACAAAGGCTGGGAAGTTGGCACGAATCTCAGCCTGGTGGACAGTCAAGTGCACCAAAATCTTTCTGATGCTGCAAAATGCAGCTGATCTGACAGGAGAAAAAGAGAAATTGGAAAACTAATGGTAAAGGAATTAGTCTTAAAACATAAAACCAAATGTAAAACTGTAAAGGAAATTGAATAGATATTTAATGAATCTTAATTCTTATGTTTCTCACACTGCTGTATTTATTATAGATGAACTGTAGGAAATATCCACAGTGCTAGAAGTTGCTGTTAACATACTGTTCCAAGTATATAATCATTATCCATCAAGTAATATAAGGTAATTTATTGTACACTAAGTGCTTAGCATTGCTACTTTTACTTCTAGAAATAGCTTTGGCTCATTTGGGCAATATATGCTACTTTTGATTAAAATAACTGCTTGGAACTTGACTGATGTGAGATTTTGAACAGATAGCAATTGCCAACCTCGGTTGCTCATCAAAAGCCGGCATTTAGGAAAAAAAGTTAATTTGCTGAATGAAAAACTTTGTGTTCTGCAAAGAGCTGTGTTGCATAACACTGTGACTGCCATTCTATACCATGAAGACCCAGTGATAATGTGCTGAGACAAAATAATTTTAATTACACCAAATTCAGCTATAAGGTATCTATATCTTATTTTATCATCCAGAATAGATGGAAAGAGCAAGTACTGTATACAGTGACAAAATTATCATAATAATTCACCCTCAGAACTCTGAATGCTAACATATTTTAAATTATGGCTGCTCAGAAGCAGGTCATCCTTTGACCCTAATTATTTCATTTTATTGCTCACTGATACACTTGGAAGATAATTAGACCTTCTAATCTATTTGGTAATAAGTAGGAATAATTTCTCTTTTGCCCTATGAACTGCTTTTGTAGGAATATTGGTGACTGCCTGTGGGAGAGGCCTTCTGCTCTCCTATAAAAATCTCAGGTTATAGGGTAGCAACTGAGGTAGAATGGTACAGCTTCATGTAATTTCATAATCATTATAGATCATAATTACAAGGCTGTTATTCCACCGTTCTATAATTTTCCAGATAGCCTAATGAGATTGCAGATTACAGTACCACCCCTTTAGGAATGCCTGCGAAAGTAATTGTACTCATTCATGTATTTTAATGTGATCAGTTCAAGAACTTCTAAGCTTTTGAATAACTGAGACTCAACAGCCTTATTCTACACTTAAAATGAACTTGTAAAGAAATTTTTATCTGGAGCTTAGGGAGCAATATGTTACAATCATGTATAGTCCATCCTTTTAGAAACTGTGAATGAAACAATTATAACCAAAAGAGAAATCAACAAGGAAAGTGAACTTCTAAATATGCGTTGGCAAAGGATACTTCATTTTACTTCTATGTGTTCTGATCTGAGCATGTTTGCATTACATTTATACAATTTAAATTACAATAAGACTATATTACAAGGAAATTAAGGTAATAATTTAATTTGCATTTCACCAGCATTTACAACAGAAAAGGCTAGCATATCAAGAAAGTCATCTCCATTATGGGATCAATTATTGGATTTTAGGTTTTATCTTTTGGTTGAAACTAGGTGATCTTTCAACCCAAACCATTCTATGATTCTAAAATTGTTTTACATGAATAGTGATAACTTGTTTAGTATTTCCTGTGCAATGACCTCAGCTACCTGGGTTAGCCCTACTAAGTGAAACTTGCCAACTGCATTAGTTAGGATAAGAATTTTTAAAATGTTTAAATAAAATGAGAGTATTGATTTCTGATTTTCCCACTAAGTTCACTGAAAAAAAAGAGTTAAAGAAATGTTTAAAGAAATAAATGGTTGAGTAAGTCCTTAAATGTCAGGAAGATAACATATGCTTTCCTATATGAGGAATCTTAGCAAGAAGCAATTGCAAATTTCTTAAAACTACTTAAAAAAGAAGGTGGAAGGTCAGTGTCAGGTGCTTTCCTTATAATAGCTGCAAATATAGCCAGTGAAAACAGGCATGTCTCAGCCTATCTTAAAGACAGCATTTGATTTGGGACCTATTAAAAAAAGAAATAGAAAAGAAACAAGAAAGAAACCCCTGCCTGGCTTACTGCCATACGTGTCAATTATTTCTCAGAAATTATCAGTTGAAAGAAAAAGAATCCCATAGCCAGTCCATCACAACGAAGGAATGCAAGAGAACAGAACATATTTTAAAAGATTTGCTGAGGCAGAGCCATGTTTTAATCAAAGAAAATAAGAGAGACCATAGCAACATACAGCACTCCATAGCTACCATGCATCTCAGAGGAATTACTCCATGTGCAAATCAGTATCTGTCTACCCTCACAGAACAATGCAGCTGGTTTGATAGAGAGTTAAATGCTTTTAAATGCTTTCTAGAATGAGCTCAGAAAGCCACTGACATTTTACTTTGAGTTAAAGATAATTCAGGACTTCATCTCTCCTTTCAATAAGGATATGGTGCAAAATTTTCTTTAGCAGTTTCATCAACCCTCAAATTCTCCAACAAAATCTTGGAGCAGAACTAACCCCATCCTGAATACAGGTTTAATTTTCCATACTTATCTCTGGAAATGACACAATCAAGATGCACTGTATTACTGAGCAAAATGTGTTACTTACATGCTATAACCCCAGTGCATCCATGGATCTTGCTGACCGAGTTCCTGTGAGCCCTGCAGAGTCACAATGGATCCAAGACCATTCCAGATCAGCTGAATTCATTGCCCAGCCACGCTACACACATCTAATGCTCTGTTGCAGGATTAAAGAAATAAATAGACAAATGCACCATGCTAAGTCACATTGAAAGGTACAGATACAAAGAAAAATCTCCCTGAAAAGTAGACAAATCCCTTTCTGAATTGGCTTCTACTATGATCCTTATAGGTCTCTTCCAACTCAGAATATTCCATGAAAGTTAAAGGTTCTGTGAAAGCTATCCAAGCCATAAACTCGGAGCTTGTGCACCAGTCCCTGAGAACTTGTACATGACTTCTGAATTGATCCCTATATGTTTTCAGGTTACTAGGGCAAAATAGGATATACCTTCCTAAATCACACTATTTAGAAAAATCAAGCAAGCTAGGAGACCACTGCTGTCCAAATAGAAAATAATACTTGCTATTGACAACTGACAACAATAGGAGCCAGGAGAACTGATTGATAGAGGTGAATGACAGTGAAAAGAGTAGGTTTTGGTTTTTAAACCCTTGCTTAAGACATAATTTAGAATTTCAGAAAATGCTGATCCATGACACTTGGATTCCCAATTTGTGTCTTCCTAAGTTTCTTTTAACAGCATTCCCCCTTTTTTCATTTTTGTGGTTTTTTTTTTCTCATTTACAATAAACCAGGAGATAGAGCACAAGTCCCAGCAACACAAACTGTATCTCCAGCAGCTCTCTGTTGAATATTGTCAGACTCTCCAACCCTTATGCCTCAGTGACTGTTGAAGGTACAGCACACATCCAATAGAGGTTTGTAGATAACTCTTCTGTCTAGTCCTTGAGCCCGCCAAGCACAATCAGCTCTAACCTAGGAGCTGGGTAACCATGCCAACACAGCACTCAGGTGAAAATAACGTCCTAGCTTTTAACAAGATGCATCATTTTGCCTCTGGCTTTCCCTCATCTTAACAGAGCCATTGCCTGCCTTATTTTCATCCTGCAGGAGAGGAGGACACACGATGGCCTCTCTCAGGTGGACAGATACTGAGATATTCCTTGCTCTCAAGGAGTTTATTCCAGTCTGTAACTAGCCTAGATCTGCACACTGCAAAAAACAATTGTTGTTACAGTGTTTATTATTTCATTGTCAGCAGCTCTAGGAACAAGCCCTAATAGTGCTTTGAACATTCACCTGGTGTGAAGGAACCAACCTTGTTTAAGTTTTCTTGGCAAGATTACCAGATACATATTTAAAGAGAGAATAAAAACATATATGTTTATCATCTTACAATTGTAGTATTAATTAGAAAATTTGTATAAGAAATATATTAATACAGCAAAACACATGGAATTTCATTTTTTTAAATTTTCTAAATTTAACATTGTCAAAGTATAGGTGGGGTTGTATATGGATATGAGCTACCTGACTTTTAAAAACTTCAGAAGAGCTCTTATATTTAATTTACATATATTGATGTTCAAAGGTGAAGAAAATCCACATACAAATGGCTTTTTAATATATGAATGATGAAAGAGGAATTTTTGTTCATTAGCTACTTGAACATTACAGCTCTAAGAAAAGCTCTTTTGAAAACAGTGGAATTTAATTTGACATGTGGAAAAAAAAACCAAAAAGTAAAATTTATAAAAAATTCTTTATTTTCTGTACATTTTTAATACTGATGTAAAATATTGCTCCTTAAAGCATCTAGAAATATTGTATTACACATTATAAACTAAAAAGACACAAAATTAATTGGTTTCTTTAAAAATAAAAAAACTGAAACTAGAAAGAAAGTATTTTATGTATCGATATTGAAATCCTAATACTTATTTTTGATGCAGATTAATTTCTTTCTAATTAGACTGAATTCAAGAGAGCATGTAAACTAAAATGAAAGCAATATGTTAGGGGCCAAAAGTAACCCCTCTAGTAACTGTCAGCATAAACCTCATTTCTGAAGGAATCAAATTGTCCACACAAGTGAAAAGAAGGGACATAGGCCTTCAAGAGAATGAAAATAAGAATAAGAAACCACAGCCAACTTTCTTTAAAGAAAAGCTGTTTGGTTCACAATATCACTATTTTCCATGGCAAAAGAAAAGGCACCTTCATTTGGTGCTTACCTTTAAGCACAACAGCATAACATACATTTAAGTAAAAATATATTTTCTTCTCCTAAGAATGAAGAATAAGCAAGACCACTTGAAATGTGCCTGGATAACTGAAGTTGAAGACAGAACAGAGTTTGGTTAAGATCAAACATGGCATTTTTCTGGTCACTATTCACACATCCATGCTTCAGGCTCTGTGTGTTCTCAAGCTAGAGAGAATGCTGTTTATCAAAGCTATTGGCAATAACTTTGCAGCTTCAACACAGTGAGTTATCAGTGAGTGGCTGCGTTTTGGAAGAGATTATTGAAGGTCATTGGGACCAAATCCCCTGCTCTAGCAAGGCCACCTGCATCCAGGACCATATCCAGATACATCCAGAAGATCTGCAAGGAGGGAAGCTCTGCAAAGCCCCTGGGCAGTCTCTCAACCTCACAGTAAATGATGGACTTGCACCCACACAGACAAACAGCGCTTCCTTGTCCCACCACTTACACATCTATACTCTTCAGACTTTCCCTGGTAAGTTGCTCAGATAAATTGACTGTTTTTATTACTGGTCTTTGACATGAAGCTAAGATTCATCTTGCCAAATTCAGCCTTATAAAACACCAGTATATTTAATATAGTTTATTTAATGGCTAATCAGTTAGTAGCTGAAAAACATCAGTGCTTGTTTTTTCTCTTTTATCATCTGTTGGACAATTGTGTCTGCATATTTATCACTTTCCTGGTTATTCCCTCTATACTCCATAGTCCCTGAACAGTTAATGAAGCAGATATTCACGTTTCAAATATCATTACAGATTTCATCAGAAACACATGAGAACTGTAGCCAAAAAAACCCTCAAAGCAATCAACCAACCTCAGAGAGGGATACATTTCTAAACTAGTAAACAGGATTGAAAAGGATGGGATACCTGAAACCTGGGAAAACTTACAATGTTATTCAAGTTAGAAAGCTCTTCATAACATTGTTTTTTTGCTGAATTGAAACTGAACTACATTTATTTTGATGAATCAAGGGGAGAAGTGTCAGACAGCTACAAAGCTAGGAAACAAATTTGTCAGCATAAATTCTATTCAACACTAGGATAATGTGACAAGAAATGAAAACACACTTATTTTTGTAGAAGCAAGGAATAAGTAGCAGCTCAGCATTTACCTTGTAAAAGCTTGAAAGGAATTTGCACTACTAGAGACTGTAGTTGCCAAAAAAATGCAAATCAACTTCTCATTTTCCCAAAACAAAAATATGAAATTTGTCTAAATTATATGTATGGATGTTTTAGATGAGATATCAAAAGCATTCTCTCCATTATCCTTTTATGATAAAATTACACTGTTGTTTCCATAAAAGATACAAATTTCCAACACATTGCTGCTCTCATTAGCACCTGACAGTGAAACACTTTTGTTTTCAAATTATAAAAGGCATAACAATTTTCTGCTATCTTTTTCACACCATCAAAAAACACTTTCTGGCAGAAAAAAAAAAAAGTCTTTTTTTTTTTCTAGAGGAAAAAAGTACTGCTTTTATGTGAATAATATGTTAATCACAGGAATTAATAGTCTGGGAGTAGATTTACAGTCATCATGCTAATGTGCCAACTCACATGTTAACATAACACTTCATATCTCTCTGAACTCATAAACTTCCAATTTCTAGTTCTTCGTTTTGATTATATTTTGAATTTATTGCCCTTTTTCTCTTCTACAATAGACAACAGTCAAGACAAGAGGATTTACTGGTCAGCTTGAAAGAATAATTACAAAACAGAGATCTTAAAAAAATTTAAAAGTAGTTTGGGTTTAAGACATGTGAGGAGTTCCAGGTATGTGGACTTCTGCAGCTACTTGAATCCTACCTAATAGGGTAAAAATTTCTTCTCACTGGCTACCCAATCACTTTTAAAGACTATGACACTTCTTTTATTTATTTGTAATATCATCAAGTGGAAAACCAACAGCTTAAAAGGATCTGGATGTCATATAGTCTACTCTTACTCTCCCCTAGCTGAACAATTTTGAAACTTAATTTACATATTAATAAATTTCACTTCACTATTAAAGAGAGGATAAGAGCAAGAAACCAGATTAAATGAAGAGCATCCTCTTCACTTCCTTCTTCTATTGATTGAAAACCTTCCTTCAATCTACATCAATGTGCCAAAATCTGCCATTTCCAAGAGCCTATATTGGCTAGCAGTCCACAACACATAAGGGTAGAAAGTCAACCAAGTTCATGAACCAGCTCCACCTATTAAAACCGTTCCAGATGTTTGTGCAATTTGCAGAAAATTATTCCAAATGCTTCTCCAAATTTAAGTCAATTAAACATTTCTGTATGAGAATAGGAACTACTGTGGTGGCCAAGAGGCCTTATGCCAAAGAAAAGCTAGGATTCAAACAGAGAAAATCACAGCTCTTGAAAAGGTAATTACCAGCTACTGTGAAGCGCTAAAACACTTCCCCTTCTATTAATATCCAGAAAAGCTTCATTTTCCCAGAAATCTCTACAAAATTGCAGCTTCTGTATGCTCCTTATTGATTTCAGCTGGTCTGAAATCAAACATTTCTAACAATACTTCCAGCTCATCATAAGGATGAAACAGATCAAAACAGAAGAACATGATCATACTAATAAAAATGAGAAAAATACATGAATGTATGAATACCTTATTTCCCCATAACATTCTCTGAAATATCAGCCTTTAAAAAGTCCTAAAATAATAAACCCCCTTTGTAAAATGAGCAAAGAGATAAGTTGTTCCAAGCAAAGCAGAACATGTACATAAAAGTGTAGTTTTTAGTGATTATTGTTCATGGAATTTGCATAATTTGAATCACTTCCAATTTATTTATTTTACCACTGACTAACATTTTTAAAAATAATTTTGTATTTTGTGCTTTTTAAAACTAAGGGGAAATTATATACCTGATATATTGTAGTTATTTCTAAACTCATGTGCAAATTATCTCATGTGCAAATATCTTTTTCTGTTTCTTCCTCTTTTTTTTTTATAAATGTTTTCCATTCCAACTAGAAGACTTCTGGAATGTCTGATATTTTCTCTCTAGGTGTTTACTTCCTGAAGTCCCTCTCTTACTAATGATCGTCACTAAAATTAAAAAAAAAGAAATACCAAGCCTGTAGTAGAAAAGCTATTTTTAGAGATAGACCTCTTCATAATTTCCTTTAATAATTTCCTCCAAATTTAAAAAAAAATCCAAAATATCTGGAAGATCTGCAACGTTAAAGTTTAATCAGGCTTACAGGCATCTAAACTTATATGACCTGCTTGATCACAAAATACCATTTTCCTACTGAATTGCAATATTTCCATTCTTCCAATGGAACTTCTAGTAACTAAGCATTTTTATTGGCTCTTTTGTTTAAGGTAGTAATACATATTTTTCTTTTTCTCTATCCTTGTCATTGTATGGAACTGAGATATTATTTTGTTTAGATCTTTAAGGAAACTTTGGGTTACTATCTTGCCTATTGATTTACCTGAAAAGACACATTCAATTCTTCCTAAAATGAGATCCCTTAATACACCACTATTTTCTCTAAGATTTTCCATTTTAAAATCCTTACTTTTAAATCTAACCCAAGAAAACCTATCATAAAATCTTATGTCTCATCTATTGTGCAATATTTACTATGAAAATTTGCTAATCTGTAGCAGTTAGAAGATCCAAACAGGGATGGCAGCTGTGCACAAAAGACAATCTGTTTTCCAAAGAGCTGAAAACACATCATTTTAATTTAATCAAATTTGTTATTTTAAACTCTTGGCACGGACCACTGAGACTCTCACAAAGCCAGAAATGAAACACATCCCAGCAGGAGAAGAAAAGCAAAGGGAAGAAGCAAGGATGCCTGAAGGAGTATTCACTAGAAAGTTAAGAGGTTGCACTGTTAAAGACAGGGTAAGATCAAGAAATTACATTTAATGAAACAGAGAAGGAAAACCACACAAAGAAGTGACAACTGCTTCAATTTCGAGAATCATTCAAATGCAATATATCAGCTGTAACATTATTATATGAGAACAGATGGGTAGGAAAAACTTGATAGAATAGAATTCTTTATCCATAGCAAGATTTTCCATCATGTTCCTTGCTTACCTAGACTCAGAGACCGCTCAAAACATGTTTTGGCTTCCTTCTTCTCATACAGTGTTTTAACAGCATGACGAGGAGAAGAGGATAAGGCTGCTGAGAGGTGGGTAGCTGCACCTTGTCCTGAACTGATCATTCTACAAGGTTCCCTTTATACACTGCCAAGTTCAAAGAGGTTTTTAATCTTACAGATTTAAAAGGTTCATCTAATTTACACCTGTCAGTTTACATTTCCTTCTAAGTTCTTTCAGGATCAGCAGCTTGGCTGTTGAGGACAGAATGTGGAGTTACTTCTCGGATGGTCTGCACAGCTTGCAGAGATTGTGGTCATGGGGACACCCACTCACACATCACCATGCTCTGCTTCAAGTACTGGGCTACAGCACAATCTGAGTAAATTATCCAGTCCACTGGCTTACTGTGCATGGGTTTCTGAGACACCCTGTCATTTCAAAGTCCTCAAAGATTTTTGTGGGTTTTTCTTTTTTGCATTAGCATAACCCCCCCACCAGTTACAAACAATTTCAGTTTTGTATGCTACAAATTGACTTCCATCTTCAAAGTTACTTCTAAGAAACAAAGTCAGAAGCAGAGAATTGACACTGTACAAGCAACAACAACAGACATGGTAATATACCTCCTACAATAGCATGGATAATTGAAATTGCCCTATCACAGATCATGTGCCACTTGTCTTCAGGCAACCAGTTCCTTGATTACCAAATCATGATAATCAATGCAAGGCCCATTATTTTGCCTGGTTCAGTTTTACATTCTTTCAGACTTTTCTACTGATGCATGAGAAGATGAGAGCTATAAAGACGAAATACATTTTTTGAGACTTAGCCAGCTGCTGCTTGCTTTGACACTGCTATACAATAAGCAAAACTCATTTGAAAAGAATGATTTTTAAGAAGTAATGATAAATGCATGATAGCCAAAAGAAAAATTCAGTGCAATCCTTTTCACAGAGTTATTCACATATTTTCCAATACTTAAAAAATTAAATACTAAAGCAATCATGTCCAGTGAGGTGGGAAAAACATTTTAACATTTAAGTTCCATTTCTGCTATAATAAGACTATAAAATAATCAAAGCAAGAGAAATTTTCTCCTTTTCCTTGTTTGTTTCTGAACTCAGAAAAGAGCATCAAATGCCCAGAAAAAGCATCTATTTTACTGTTTCTACAAGAAAAAGGAAAAAAAGGCACCATTAATCATATTTTTAAAAATCCCTCAGGCAAAGTCTTCATAACGTAGCATAGTATATGTTGGTAATACAGTAAATTAGCAAATTTACCATAAGGCATTTGAGGGAGGAAAAAAAATACCTACAGAGATAATTTCAATTATTTCAACATGACTTTCAGTCTATATGTAGGAATAAATGGCACCTTTCTTATTTCAGATATTGCAGAATAATAAGTATACATAGAAGGGAGAAAAACTTAGTCACACATTTTAAAAAGAGAGACAATTTGAAGAAAATACCAATAGAAAAATTCGTTTTAAGTTAGTAACAACAGAAGTTTCAAATATTTCCTGTAGTGTCCATATTTCCCATACTGCCTATAAAATAGTCTCTAGGTTAAATGTTTATTTCTTAAAAATATAGGACACACTCTCAAAAATCTAAAACTTGTTTTTAACTACTATCCTGTTTTGCTGGCTGAAGACTAAAGATTAAAGATACCTTGACTGCCAAAATGGTTTCTGAAAACGTTCAGCTTGAGATGAGCACAAGTCTGCAGGACTTGTATTTCAATAACAACCTGAAACATTTTGATAAAATTCTGAAATATGTCACTTAGTCATGAATTATTTATATAAATAATGCATTTTATTTTTATTACAAAACATTTCTGCCTCCCTGTAGGCCAAATGGCTCAACCACCTTTGGGAGGAAACATGCATGTTTGCAAAGATAGAGCAATACATCATCCATTTGAAAGAAAAAAGAAACACACAAAAAAACCACCACTGACCAACCATATATAAAACATTTTCCTTACATAGGCTTGACCTACTATATATACCTTGTTCCATCTCTTTCTCCTCCTCACCTCAGATCCCTCCTTCCTTCAGTCTTTCCTCTATATGGATTTAACCATCATTCCCATTGTGAACAAAAAAAAACCACAGAAAATCCTTTGATTTCTGTGAAATTTTGATATTCCCTAATACAAACTACCAGCTTAAGGTTCTGCACTGTGATAAACCTACAATATGACAGGCAGAAAAACCAGACTTCCAAGAGAATTATTCCCTCTGTGATGCATCTGCATTGATGCAATTTCCACAGGAAGACTGCACTGCATGCATTTTGTACCTCCTAGAATAACCCAAACACTCTTTGAGCCTGGTCTAATTATTCTATACAATATCTCTCAGAGCCTAAGATCTAATATCATGTCTTGTTATGATTTCAAGGATTACACATCCCTACCCTGTCTAAATTCCTTGTTTCATTCATTGTACAACCATGAGAATCTCAACTTTCTGAACAAATCCTTTCTGTTTTCCATAATGATTTGAAAACAGTTCACTTTCTACTCTAATATTTCACTGTCTCATCTACTTAAGAACTATATGAGGCTACAAAATGTTTTCCTATACAAATATACTTTCCTAGAATCCCACTAAAATAGCTGTTTATGGACTATTAGAGCAGTTCAAGAAGTCAGTTTTCATTTTGGCAAAAGAATTATCCCTATATAAATAGTATTTTCCACCATTCTAATGAGCTCGCATAATAGTAAAAAGCTAGTATTTGTCCAAGCAGAATCATTTTTTTATCCTTAATTTTTATTAGTTCTGGATTTTAAAAAAGCCTGCCTATCATCTGTATATGCTTTTATTTACATTAGCACAGGCAATTAATAGTAAATATATTCCATCCTCCACCAAAAAGAATGTTCTAACAGATAAGAAATTAGATAAGAAGAAAATTGGAATAGTCCCACATGCAAGGAATGATGGCAATTCAGAAGACCATCTTAGCTATTTCCTGGAAAAAGTCTTCAAGAAGTTAATTGTGTGACACACCAAACTGTGCTGTTTGGAAATATCTTATGAATACTATATATTGTAACTAAAAAGGAATTTCATGTTGGTAAATTAGCCTTTGAAATCATTCATAGGGAGGTCATACTAGGCAGGAAACACAAATGATGAGAACATAAGGAGCACATCCAAGAAACCATGTCAAAACAAGATAATCCTTTCATTTTTATTCCCTGCTCTATTATGAAAATATAAAAAGCTTTTAAGACAGACCTTCACTTCCCAAAATTTCAGCTTAAACTCTTTGATGACACTACAGTGCAGAAATTTGAGAAATCTGAGGGAATTTTAAGCTTTTGGAACTTTTGGGAGCCATACTAAACCTGATCCAAATTATCACTTATAAAGCATCACTGTTTTATTCACAGTACAAAGACTTAGGAAACCATTAAATTGACAAGTGGTATGTGGTAGCCACATTTTCATAGCCTTTGTCTGCAACTACAATAATAGTAATAATACCCTTTCCTCAAGGATAAATGAAGGAATACAACTTTTTTTTTGTTTGTTTGTTTCACCATACATATCCAGTAACTTCTCAGGCTACCACCGGCATCTGCTCTTCTGTTTTCCACATACACATACAGCTGTTACCTAGATAGAATTTTTCCCTGGGGCAGTTGAAAATTTCATTTCTCTGTCATATTAA